TTTTTTAGCACTTCCGGACACTCTGAATACACAATCATTTATTAGTCAAGCGATTCCCGGCAAAAAAACCTGTAACACGTGCAGTAAATCATGAGAGAATTTCACAGTGCAGTAGTTTGACACGCGTACTCGTCTACATCCAAAAAAAGAGACAGATGCATGAGCATGCACAAACAGTGACTCCTGTGCTATAAGCATAGCCATATCTGATTGCCTTAAAACTAGATGTTAGTAAATGTAATATTGAAACAGAACTCAAGGTAGCTACTGAGTACTGTGCGCAGGCTGAATTTGATAAAATGCGCCAATTCAGGTGACTCCTTGTCACGGCAACTGATGTCAGTACAACTCCACGTGGGGTTAGTCTTTTTTTTTTCTAAAAGAGTTTGAACTTATTTTTTGATTAACTAGTAAGTTTGCTTCGTGTGTATGTTTAGACGGCGATTGAAAACATTTATCATAAAATGTATGTCAGAGGCAGAGTTAAAAGAGGGCGACTAAAGAGGCCAGTGAAGTGATATTTTAAGTAGAACATGGTGGCTGTAATGTGGTCCAATTTAAGTATTATGTGTTGTGCAGTAGGCATGCATCTGTTGTTTTTCTCGTAATGAAAATGTCTTTAGTATGGAAGCTTGTTTCTGCCACTGAAAAAAGTTTTTTTTTTTGCCATCTGTAAGTCAGAATTTCAGCTTTTTGTCTCAGAGTTATTTTCTAAGAAGTTTAAGCATGTTATGGTTTTGAGATAAGAACCAGATTTTTTCTTACAGATGACTTATGCAAAAAAAACCCCAAAAGAATTTAAAAACAAACAAACAAAAAAACGGTGGTGCAAACAAAGTTCCACACTTGGGTGTAAATCCAGGCTCAAATAATTTATCACTGTGACCACCAGGTGGCAGCAAAACATCTATTATTCAGGTAGGCGAAAGGCTCTTTAAGTCATCTGATTAGTGCGTGTTTAGGAGTCACTTACTGTATGCCTGTTGTTGTTGTTGTTGTTGTTGTTGTAACAAAGCCTCTGCACTTTAGCTTTAATTGTGTTAAGGTGAGAGTGTTTGATATGTTTCACTGTGTACTGTGTTCATTAACCAGGAACACACACACACATATCAAAACACCATCCTATGATTTCTAACGAACTTAAGATGTCTTCTATGAACCAAAGTTAGTGTCACACAACAGATGGTTAAATGAATGTATTTTTTTTTGTGTATGTGCAGCTTGTGCTTAATAAAAATACCAGCTTCATTCAAATAGTGGCTGCGCTGCACACCATACATATTTTATATTTTATGGTCAGCTCTTTCACGCAGAAAGACGACATTTATATCACAAAAGACAGTATTAGAAGACTGAGATAGAAGATGTTAGTATGAACCTTTGCCAGCTGAATTGGAGAAACCCAAACTGCTTGTGAATCCTCAGTATGGGCTCAGAAAACTGCAAAAAATTGCAGATGTTAAATAAAAAATCAATATTGGCCCTGGTTTTTTTTTTTTTTTTTTTTTTT